CACTGACAGCAGCACCAGCACCCCCAGTAGCTCCAGCACCCCCAGCAGCTCCAGAACCACCAGCTCCAGCACCTCCAGGACCAACTCCACTAGTAGTAGCACCCCCAGAACCGGCACCCCCAGTCCCAGGGTCTCCAGCAGTAGAACTCTCACGCAAAGCTCCTCCAGCCCCGGCAGCTCCAGTCCCTCCAGTACGAGCACCTCCGAGACCAGGGGAAGGAACTCCAACACCTCCAGAAGCAGAGCCTCGAGCTCCAGCAGCGCGACCCTGACGGCGCCCGAACCAGTCGTGCAGCTGCTGTGAGGTGAGAGGTACACGCTCCACGGGGACCGCGTCCCAGCAGGCGCAGTACCCTCAGTCGGCTCACCTCCAGGCCCAGCTAGTCTCCACACACACAGGCACGTCACCCCCAGACACAGCACCCTCAGGCGTAGTACCACCAGGCTCCTGACTCGCAGGCTCAGCACCTCCAGGCACCTCACGCTCACGCTCCGCACCCCCAGGCTCAGTACCTCCAGGCTCCGCACCCCCAGGCTCCGCACCCCCAGGCTCCGCACCCCTAGGCTCCGCACCCCTAGGCTTCGCACCCCTAGGCTCCGCACCCCTAGGCTCCGCACCCCCAGAGCCAACGACACCTCCAGCAGGACCAGAGTCACCAGTGACCTCAACAGGCGCAGGTACGGGTGGGTCCACGTGAGAAACACCTGAAGGGCAGGACCTGGCGCGGGAAGGGGGTCTACCTGGGGAGGACCTGGGGTGAGGAAGAGCAACGGGGGGGCGCGAGGGGAGGTACGGTAGGGAAAGAGACGGTAGAAGGGAACGGACTCGTCAAAGGTGACATCCTGAGACGCAAAGACACGGCGCGAGGTGGGGTCGTAAAACTGCCAGCCAGGCGCGTCAGGAGGAAAACCAAGGAAGACACAGGGAATGGCGCGGGCGGAGAGTTTGTCCGCGGTGGTATCGCGGACAAAGGCACGAGCACCCCAGACCCGAAAGCGCGACGCATCGCCAACCTCCCCCGTCCACAACAGTGTGGGCGAGGTCTCCGGCAAGGAGACACGGGGCCAGAGGTTGAGCTGATGCGCGGCGTAGCGGACCGCAAACGGCCACAGAAAATGGGGGGCAGCCGCATGGATCATGGAGGTACGAGCGACCTCCATGACTAAGCCAATGCGGCGCTCAGCAACCCCATTCTGCTGCGGAGAGGCCGGAAGCGTGAACGTCTGGCGGATGCCGTGCTCCGCACAGAAGGCTCGCAAGAGGTCAGAGGAGAACTCACCACCTCTATCAGAGTGCAGACGCAGGACAGGAAAGTCCGTCTGGAACCGCTTGCGAAGCTGGAGACGAGCAGCGCGGATCCAGGGGATCAAAACATCAGGGACCTGCCCCTTGCTGCGCAAGGGGAAGACCGTGGTGTAGCGCGAGTAGTCGTCGACGACCAGCAGGAAGTAGCGCTCGCGGCCCTGACCCTGGACGCGGGCTGGGCCCCACACGTCCAGGTGGAGCGTCTGCAGCGGAGCCTCTGTGGGAGGGAACGAGGAGGAGTGAGGAGCGGCGCGCTGCCGCCCCTCGACGCAAGGAATGCAGGGCGGCGCAGGCGAGGGAGGGAGTGCAGGCAGGGACCTGGGAAGACCAGAGACCAGACAGCGAGAGTGCATGCCACGCAGGCGAGGCAGGGAGGGGTGACCAAGGCGGTGGTGCCTCAGGAGAGTGTCGTGGGACAGGCGGCGGCACTCACACTGGGTGGCTACCTGAGCAGACGCGTACAGCTGTGGAGACAAAGGAGTGTAGCGTGAAACAGTGGTGAGAGTGTAAAGACTGGACCCCGGCTCACGGGTGAACGTGGCCAGGTGGCGGCCAGTCTTGGAGCACGTACAGATCGCCACACGCTGTCCTCCAGGAGTCCAGGTGTCAACCCAGTGATCCTGAAGGACGGCGTTGCTCACCAAGTTCGTAGAGAACGAGGGAACATGGAGACCTGACAGCTCACCAGACGGGACCGCCGGGCACGGAAGCACAGTCGTGGCACGTGCAAGCACTGGGCCCCCAGAGGGGTCAGCCAGTGAGACAGGAACAGGTGCAGGGAGGGGGGTGACTGCGGTGCTGTCGCGAAAGAAACAGCGAGAAGCACCAGAGTCAAGTGTAAACGTGTGCAAAGCTTGCGTGGACGCAGTACCAGAGGGGTCAGACGCACGAGCACCTAGGGCTGCAGTCTCTATACCTGGGTCAGGCGGAACGCACAAGTAGCAGTCACCCTCAGCACTAACAGTCAATGCATACATGGCAGCAAGGATTGCATCATAGTCAAGATCATAGACATTGACATCACGCCTAAGCAGATCAGCCCAGTTGGGGAACTCAGTGGCATCAGGGAACTTGGCGCGCCAGGCGTCGCTGAGGCGCGCAAAGCAACGGGACTCAGGGTGAAGGCCGTTGCACGTGCGGCCCTTGCGAGGGCCAGTGAGAATGACATAGGGGCAGCGACCAGAACCCCCAGACGCCCCACGCCCAGCATACCAGTCATGAAGCTGCTGAGAGGAGGGGGTCTGGCGCTGCTGCTGCTGCTGGCCGGTCCCACTCCCGCCTCCACCACCACCCCCACCACCACCGCCTCCTCCCCCCTTGCCGCCGCTGCCACCTCCACCACCCCCACGACCACCTCCACCCCCCCCACCACCCCCACGACCACCTCCAAAAAAAAAAAAAAAAAAAAAATCGGTCCTTACGGACCTACTGCTCTGATACCATGTGGAAACTATGAGGGAAGAATGGTTGGATTGAAAGACGCAAGGGTACAAATAGGAAACCCTAGTTGGGGTTGTACCCCATATTGGCTACCCCACTATAGCCTACAAGCATAATAGCACATTTATACTTTGACAATTCTGGTCCCCTTTCACACACTAGGTGCGTTGTGCTCATACTTCTCGCTCCATCACAACAAACAGTCGCCGGGAAAGGCAATAGCTGGAAGTGACAATTCTCCTTTACAGCGGCCGCAGGCGAGGATAGTCAAACAGCATGTCTCGCTCTGTCAGGGTATCCTCATCGTCTTGGGGCGCAGGCGAGGATAGTCAAGCAGCATGTCACGCTCTGTGAGAGTGTCCTCCTTGTCCTGAGGCGTCCAGAGCACCTCCACCGCTTGCATGGGGAGAGAGGAGTAAGGAAGAAGGAAGGGGGTTGGGGGGTTGGAAGTAGGAATATGGGACGTAGAGAGGGAAACTGGGAGGTCCATGGCAGGCCACGTGTGTGACAAAGAGGGAGGGAGAGAGGAGATTGAACAAGGCCGAGATCAGTGAAAGTGTCATCCCGGTTCGATGTGAGACTGTAGAACATGCACTAATGCCATGAGAACTCACCTGAATGACTCACCTAAAGCACGTCAAAACACACCTGAAGCTCGTCAAAACACACCTGAAGCTTGTCAAAACACACCTGAAGCTCGTCAAAACACACATGAAGCTCGTCAAAACACACCTAAAGCTCGTCAAAACACACCTGAAGCTCGTCAAAACACACCCGAAGCTCGTCAAAATACACCTGAAGCTCGTCAAAACACACCTGAAGCTCGCCAAAACACACATGAAGCTCATCAGAACACACCTGAAGCTCGTCAGCAGGAACGGATCCGAGGCGAGTCAGAGCTTCCTTCAGGTCACTCGCAGATTTGATTTCTGGTAGCCTGAACGTGCCTGCTGCTGCCAGCACTGTCACCTGGAATGCGTGTCAGCACAAAATGAAGGATGAAAGACTGGACATGCTGCCAAAATTGGCGTGATTATATGAAAGAAGTGTAGTTCTAAAATGGGATGCAGAGGGATAGAGGCGGGGGGGGTGGGAGGTTGGAGTGGGGGAAGACAAGAACCAGGGAGGGAAAATAGAAAGGCTTTACGAGTGTTCCTTGTTCATGAGGGTTTCCTCACTGAAGTGAGGCGTCCCGAGTGGGAAGTGAGAATACAGGAAAATGCGAGCAAGATGGGAGAAGGGAGGACGGGGTGAGGGGGTGTTTGTATGGCAGGCCCTGCTTCGTGAGTGTGTACTCGCTGTGGTTAGGCTTCTGAAGCGGAAAGTGAGAATACAAAAGGAACAGGGTGTCAAATTATATACGTAATATATGTGTGTAGGCTGTAGTGGGGTAGCCAATATGGGGTATAGCCCCTTTAGGGTTTCATATTTGTACCCAACTTCATTCTAGTCCTTTCATCTCTGTTAGTTGTTTCAACATGGTATTCAGAGCAGGAGGTCCCTAGGACCTTAGGATCGATTTTTTTTAGGGCCCACCACCAACCGCTCGCGGTTACCGTGCTACCCCGCGCCCTGCCCTGCCCTGACTCGCGTCGCCATCGCTGGCAAGCGCGCTGCTCGCCAAAAGCCCCGCGTGCGCCTTGCTGTCCGTCGCGTTGCCCCGCTGCCCCGCGCGCCGCCCGTCGCGCTGCCCTGCAGCCCCGCGCGCCGCCCGTCGCGCTGCCCTGCAGCCCCGCGCGCGCCTTGCCAGCCCGTCGCACTGCCCCGCAGCCCCGCGCGCGCCCTCCCGCTGCCTGTCGCGCTGCCCCGCAGCCCCTCGCGCCGCCTCCCGCGCTGCCCCACAGCCCCGCGCGCTGCCCGTCGTGCAGCCCCGGAGCCCTGCGCGCCGCCAGCTCTACTGCCGCGGCCGCCTGCCCCACCCGCGCGCTGCCTGCGCTACTAGCGCGTCGCCCAGACAGCCCACGCGCGGCTTGCAACTGCTTTGCATGCCGCCCTTGCCTGCTGCCTGTGCCTGCTGCCTTTGCCTGCTGCCTTTGCCTGCTGCCTGTGCCTGCTGCCTTTGCCTGCTGCCTGTGCCTGCTGCCTTTGCCTGCTGCCTGTGCCTGCTGCCTGTGCCTGCTGCCTTCGCCTACTGCCTTTGCCTGCTGCCTTCGCCTGCGCTGCGATTATGGCGACGCTTAATGTTCTCGCGTTTGAGCCTGACGGTCGCCCGATTGAGTTTGCCACTTGGCTCGACGACCTGCAACTGTTTCTTATGACTGATGCAAAAGACGGCGTTTCACTGTTCGATCACGCGTCTGGCACTGCCGTTGCTCCTGCTGACACTGCTCCTGCTCTTGACCGCTCACAGTGGCAGACTCGCGATGCTGCTGCGCGCCTCGCTATTTGCAACCATCTGCCGATCACTGAGCGCGCGCATTTTAGCCAGCACAAGACTGCTAAGGCACTGTACGACGCTGTAGTTGCGCGCTATTTGTCCCCAGCCACTGCTGCCGTAGGCCGTCTCATCTTGCCCTACCTGTTCCCAGACCTGTCCTCGTTTGCCACCGCTGAGGACCTTATCTCTCACCTCCGCGCTAGTGACGCTCGCTTTCGTGCCGCCCTTACAGACGACTTCCTCGCCACCCCCCTCCCCCCCCCCCCCCCCCTGTTGTACTTTACCCTCGACATCCTCGTCACCCGCCTCCCTGACACTCTCAGTTCAGTCAGGGACCACTTCCTCGCCAAAGACCCTACCACTCTCACTCTAGCCGACTTCGAGCAGCAGCTCCTAGCAGCAGAAAAGAACATCCTCGCTGTAGGTGCTGCTCGTGGCACTCCTCGCACTCCCCTCTTTGAGGGGTGCTCCCCCTCCCCTCTTGCCCCCTCTTTCGCCTCTGCTGCTGCAGTCGTTGACCTCCTCGGTGCTGAGAAGGTCGCAGCTGCTTCCGCTCCTAGTGGGAAGCGCAGCGGCACCAGGGGCGGCAAGGGTGGCAAGGGTGGTGGAGGTGGCGATGGAGGGAGCGGTGGTGGAGGCGGCGGGGGTGGTGGAGGTGGTGGGGGTGGTCGTGGGGGTGGAGGCGGTGGGTGGGGCGGCGGTGGGACTGGGAGCGGTGGAGGAGGCGACGGCGGCAGTGGAGGAGGAGGCAGCGGTAGTGGTGGTGGAGGTGGGGGCTGGGGTGCGGTCGGCCCGAAGGGGAGCTCCAGTGGTGGCCAGGGGCAGCAGCAGCAGCAGCAGCAGCGTCAGACCCCCACGTCTCAGCAGCTTCATGACTGGTACGCTCAGCGTGGGGCGTCTGGGGGTCCTGGTCGCTGCCCCTATGTCATTCGCGCCGGTCCCCGCGCTGGTCGCCCATGCAACGGTTTACTCACTGAGCACCGCTGCTTCGCTAGGCTTAGCGACGCCTGGCGCGCCAAGTTTCCTGATGCTACTGAGTTCCCCAACTGGGCAGACCTGCTTAGGCGTGATGTTCCTATCTTTGATCTTGACTATGATGCAATTCTTGCTGCCATGTATGCATTGACTGTTAGTGCTGAGGGTGACTGCTACTTGTGTGTCCCACCTGACCCAGGTATAGAGACTGCAGCCCTAGGTGCTAGTGAGTCTGCTCTCTCTGGTACTGCGCCTACTGAGGCCTTGCACACCTTCACGCTTGACTCATGTGCTTCCCGCTGTTTCTTTTGCGACAGCACCACACTCACTCCCCTCCCTGCACCTGTCCCTGTCTCACTGGCTGACCCCTCTGGGGGCCCAATGCTTGCACGGTCCACTACTGTGCTTCCGTGTCCGGCGGTCCCGTCTGGTGAGCTGTCTGGTCTCCACCTCCCCTCGTTCTCCACGAACCTGGTGAGCAACGCCGTCCTTCAGGATCATTGGGTTGACACCTTTACTCCTGGAGGACAGCGTGTGGCGATCAGCACATGCTCTAGGACTGGCCGCCACCTGGCCACGTTCACACGTGCGCCTGGGTCCAGTCTGTACACCCTCACCACTGCGTCGCGCTACACCCCTTTGTCTCCTCAGCTGTACGCGTCCGCTCAGGTAGCTACCCAGTGTGAGTGTCGCCGCCTGTCGCATTAGACTCTCCTTTGGCACCACCGCCTTGGTCACCCCTCCCTGCCTCGCCTTCATGGCATGCACTCTCGCCTTCTGGTCTCTGGCCTTCCCAGGTCTCTGCCCGCCCTCCCTCCCTCGCCTGCCCCGCCCTGCATTCCTTGCGTCGAGGGGCGGCAGCGCGCCGCTCCTCACTCCTCCTCGTTCCCTTCCACAGAGGCTCCACTGCAGACTCTCCACCTGGACGTGTGGGGCCCAGCCCGCGTCCAGGGGCAGGGCCGCGAGCGGTACTTCCTGCTGGTCGTCGACGACTACACGCGCTACACCACGGTCTTCCCCTTGCGCAGCAAGGGTCAGGTCCCTGATGTTCTGATCCCCTGGATCCGTGCTGTTCGTCTCCAGCTCCGCGAGCAGTTCCAGTCGGACTTTCCTGTCCTGCGTCTGCACTCTGATAGAGGTGGTGAGTTCTCCTCCGACCTCTTGCGAGCTTTCTGTGAGGAGCACGGCATCCGCCAGTCGTTCACGCTTTCGGCCTCTCCGCAGCAGAATGGGGTTGCTGAGCGCCGCATTGGCTTAGTCATGGAGGTCGCTCGTACCTCCATGATCCATGCGGCTGCCCCCCATTTTCTGTGGCCGTTTGCGGTCCGGTACGCCGCGCATCAGCTCAACCTCTGGCCCCGTGTCTCCTTGCCGGAGACCTTGCCCACACTGCTGTGGACGGGGAAGGTTGGCGATGCGTCGCGCTTCCGGGTCTGGGGTGCTCGTGCCTTTGTCCGCGATACCACCGCGGACAAGCTCTCCGCCCGCGCCATTCCCTGCGTATTCCTTGGTTTCCTCCTGACGCGCCTGGCTGGCAGTTTTACGACCCCGCTTCGCGCCGTGTCTTTGCGTCTCAGGATGTCACGTTCGACGAGTCGGTCCCCTTCTACCGTCTCTTCCCCTACCGTACTGCCGCTCGCCCCCCCCTTCCGCTCTTTCTCGCTCCAGGTCTTCCCCAGGTAGACCCCCTCCCCGTGCCATGTCCTGCTCCTTCAGGTGTTTCTCAGGTAGACCCTCCTGTGCCTGAGCCTGTTGAGGTCACTGGTGACTCAGGTCCTGCTCGGGGTGCTGCGTTTGGGGGTGCTGAGCCTGAGCGTGCGGAGCCTGGGGGTGCTGAGTCTGGGGGTGCTGAGCCTGCGCGTGTGGGGCCTAGGGGTGCTGCATCTGGGGTTGCTGAGCCTGAGCGTGAGGAGCCTAGGGGTGCTGAGCCTGGGGGTGCTGCGTCTAGGGGTGCTGAGCCTGAGCGTGCGGAGCCTAGGGGTGCTGAGTCTGGGGGTGCTGAGCCTGAGCGTGAGGAGCCTGGGGGTGCTGAGTCTGGGGGTGCGGCGCCTGAGGGTCCTGTGACTACTTGTACGCGGTCTCCTTGGAGTGGCCGCCTTCGTCCGCGTGCGCCTCTCTCCCCGCAGCAGCTGCACGAGTGGTACGCTCGCCGTCAGGGTCGCGCTGCTGGAGCTAGGGGCTCTGCCGCTGGAGGCGCTTCTGCTGACGTCCCTGGAGCTGGGGGTGCCGGTTCGAAGGGTACTGGGGCTGGTGCAGGAGGTGCCGATGACGCTGGAGCCGCTGGGCCTGAGGACGCTGGAGCTGGTGGTACTGCTGACCCTGCCGCAGGAGGTGCTGTTGGAGCTGCTGACACTGGAGCTGGGAGTACTGCGGGTACTTTCTGTGCTGGAGGTGCTGGAGCCGCTAGACCCGGAGGTGCTCGTACTGGAGGTACTAGAGCTGCTGGGGCTGGAGGTAGTGCGTCTGGGGGTGCTGCTGCTGGAGACACCGGGACTGGAGTTGCCGGTTCTGGGGGTGCTGCTGCTGGTGACGCTGGTACTGGCGGTGCTGGCGCTGGAGGTTCTGCGGCTGCTAGTGGTGCTGGCGCTCGAGGAGCTGGAGCTGGAGGGTCTGGAGCTGCTGGAGGTTCTGGAGCTGCTGGAGGCACTGGAGCTACTGGTGCTGGTGGCACTGCTGCGCAGCGACTGTTCTTCTCTCCGCCGTCACCGTCGTCTCTGCCGCCTCCTGACACAGTGCTTCGCCAGGTTCTTAGCCTGCCGTCTTCCACTGGCCTACCGTTACCGCCTGGCTCCCCCCTGCCTGCTCCCTCTTTTTAGACTGAGCAGACAGGAGGTCCTGCTAAGCGTCGCGAGCCAGCGTCCCGTCCTGTCTCGCCTGTTCGCACTGGTCGCACTGGTCGCACTGGTCGTGTTAGTCGTGAGCGTCCTCCTCCTGTCCCTGGCACGCACATTATGGCACTTCGTCCTTCCTCTGTTCCACAGCGTGTTCCTCTGCCGTCTCCTCCTGCGTCTTCTTTGCCTGACGTTCCGGACCCAGAGTCATACCGGTTTCGTGCTGAGCACCCTACAGTCACGCGTCTGCTAGCCACTGTTGTCACTGACCCGTCGTTTGAGTCTGCTGCTGCGTCTGCCTTAGTCGCTGAGCTTGTTGACTTTGCTGATGCCTGTCGTCTAGACTACGCTGCTAGCCTTGTTGCTGAGTCTGAGTCTGTCTGTCCTCCGTCCGTCGGGGGTGAGTGTGCTCTTGGCACGGACGTCCTTGAGGACAGGCACGAGGACCTTGAGTGTCTTGCAGCCGCTGCGCCTCATCTCGTGGCCATGCTGCTTGCACCTGAGGGAGACCCGGATGCTGTAGACATCCCGACCCCGCGCTCTTACGCTGAGGCGATCGCGGGTGAGTACTCCTCTCAGTGGCAGGCAGCCATGGACGCAGAGATGGCATCATGGAAGTCCACAGGCACTTACGTCGATGAGGTTCCCCCTCCTTGGGCGAACATCGTCGATGGCATGTGGATTTTCAGGGTGAAGCGGCCGCCGGGTTCTCCGCCTGTCTTCAAGGCTCGCTACGTTGCTCGAGGCTTCAGTCAGCGGGAGGGAGTTGACTTCTTCCAGACCTTCTCCCCCACCCCGAAGATGACCACTCTTCGAGTGCTGCTGCACGTTGCCGCTCAGCGTGACTACGAGCTTCACTCTCTTGACTTCAGCACAGCCTTCTTTCAGGGCAGCCTGCACGAGGAGATCTGGCTACGCCGCCCACCTGGCTTCACTGGGTCGTTCCCTCCTGGCACCCAGTGGAGCCTCCGGCGGCCAGTCTACGGTCTCCGTCAGGCTCCTCGTGAGTGGCACGACACACTAAGGACGACACTTGCGGCTCTTGGGTTTGCTCCTTCGACTGCTGACCCGTCGCTGTTTCTGCGCACTGACACTTCGCTGCCGCCGTTCTACATCCTCGTGTACGTCGACGACTTGGTCTTTGCCACTGCTGACACTTAGGCTCTCGCCCTGGTGAAGTCGGAGCTGTAGAAGAGACACACGTGCACAGACCTGGGTGAGCTGCGCAACTACCTTGGCTTGCAGATCATCCGGGACAGAGCACGCCGCACCATCACACTGACTCAGTCACACATGGTGCAGCAGGTCCTTCAGCGCTTCGGCTTCACTTGGTCCTCCCCACAGTCCACTCCTCTGGCTATAGGTCACTCGCTCTCAGCTCCACCTTCGGACGAGTCCGTAGAGCCGAGTGGTCCTTACCCAGAGCTAGTGGGCTGCCTCATGTATCTGATGACCTGCACTCGACCTGACCTTGCGTACCCTCTTGGCCTTCTGGCTCGCTACGTGGCTCCTGGTAGGCACCGAAAGGTGCACTGGGAAGCTGCGAAGAGGGTACTGCGCTACCTGTGCAGTACATCAGGCATGGGGCTCGTGCTTGGAGGACGGGGTGACGTTGTCCTCACTGGACACTCTGACGCGTCTTGGGTTGACGACCAGGCTACGCAGCGGTCGTCACAGGGGTACACCTTCAGTCTTGGCTCTGGCTCTGTTTCTTGGCGGTCTACACGCTCGTCTTCTGTTCTCAGCTCCAGTTGTGAGGCTGAGATCTACGCCACAGCCATGGCTGCACAGGAGTTACGCTGGCTCACCTACCTGCAGACTGACTTGGGAGAGTGGCCTCGTTCTCCTCCAGTGCTGTACGTTGACAACAAGGCCGCCATTGCCTTGTGTCAGGAGCACAGACTAGAGCACAGAACGAAGCACATCGCTCTGTGTTACTTCCTGGCTCGAGAGTTGCAGCAGCGAGGTCAGCTTCGTCTTGCTCACGTGGCCACTCGGGCCAACACTGCTGATATATTCACTAAGGCACTTCCGTCTGGTGATCATCAGCGCTTCTGTACCTTGTTAGGCCTTGTACCTACGTTTCCACACTTGCTGTAGGCTTTGCTTGTACTGTGATCTATATACATATACCTGCATGCTTGCTCTTGCTAGGTGGTGATCACTGTGCTGTTCCTGTTGCATATATACCTGTGCATGTGGACTGGCCTTGTGGCCCTTTGCTTGTGCTCGGTGTGTGTGGTGACGTTGTGATCCACCCTGAGCTTGCTTTGCCTTGCTTTGCTTGACTGGTCTTGTGACCCCTTGCTCTCCCCCACTTTGCCTATGGGGGTGTGTCAAATTATATGTAATATATGTGTGTAAGCTGTAGTGGGGTAGCCAATATGGGGTATAGCCCCTTTAGGGTTTCATATTTGTACCCAACTTCATTCTAGTCCTTTCATCTCTGTTAATTGTTTCAACACAGGGGAGCGAACTGTGTGGGGGGTGGGGGAGGGTCGGGAGGGAGGGGCAGCGGGGAAGAGGGGGGGGGGAGGGGGGAGGGGGCCGTAGCACGTCCTGCGTCGTGAGCGTGTCCTCCCTGCAGAGAGGCTTCAATGGCACCGTCACTGCCTGGATAAGGAGAAAGGTTTGGGTTCTGAGATTTGTCAAAAACCGGCAGGTGCCGCTCTGAGAGGGAGAGAGGTTTTATTTTGCAATATTCCTCAGAAAACCAGCAGGTGACGCTCTGAGGAGAATGCAAACGGAATTTAGGGGAGCGAGTAAATGTTTTACTATAAGGCCGAAACTGTGAGGTAGAAGAAGAAGAAATACAGTCTAAGCTCCATTCCGTATAAATGTTATTCCTGTGCTATGAAAGACGCATTATTGTAGAGCATGCTACTGAGATTATGAAAAACACACATGAATCTCATCAAAACACATCTAAAGCGCATCAGTACATACCTTGAGCTCTTGGAAAAATCACCTGAAGCTCATCACAACACACCTGAAACTCACCTGAAACCCATCAACAGGAATGGAGCCGAGGCGAGTCAGGGCTTCCCTCATGTGACTCCAGATTTGATTCCCGGTTGCTAGGTTTCCGTTGACTCAGCTCCGGGATTCGATCTCTCCTGCTGCTGCCAGCACTGTCAACTGCGAGACGGCAGTAAGGAGAGAGGAGCGAAGTGAGTGACAGGGGTTCTTGTCAAAATCGGTAGGAACGGAACGATTTTTTTTTTTTTTTCCCTTGAAACGCACTCCTGGGATGACATGGATCGTTTCAGATGATATTTTCTGCAGCGGTATTCTCAGACGCGGCACAATGGCTCGAATAGGTAACTGGCCTCTGCGAATCCATTGCGTGGAGACCCTTCAGGGGTACACTTCGCTTAGCTTGGAGCTCAATCGATTGCCCATTGTCACAACTTACAACATCTAAACGTATCAGCTTCTGAGATGCTGGTGTTTCAAGCTTCTGGAGACAGCAACGTTACAGAACAAGGTTGCACCCGTGTTTCACCAGCTGCTACTCCCATTCAAGATAGCAATGTTGCAGATCCTCCACGTCCCAGTGAAAACGCAGAACATGCTTGCTTCGAAAGTACCTCTCGATCGATCGTGACTTCATAAGAGCAAAACTCGACATCGAGAGAAATGAGAAGTTGAAGAATCTAACGGAACGATTCTCTTATCGTCACATTCGTAAGTCGTAGATTCAGACGGGGAGTTCCTGTCGGGATCGTCCGGAGGGGTATTACCAGACGCGGCAGATCGGCTCGAGTAGCTCTGCTCGTGTAGCACCGCTGCTCGTGTAGCACCGCTGCTGCCTGTGGTATTTCCGGGGACCTCATATCAGCGCGATCCGCGATTCGATCCCGATCCCGCTAAAAGTGTCTAGCCGTCTAGCAATGTACATTCCAGCGTCTATCCGTCTCTGAAATCTATCCTCATGGCGGCGGCGGAGCGTACGAGCGCATGCGGGAGGCGCAAAAGCCGCCGCTTCTGCTGACCCTTCCGTCTTGCATTGAGGCCGACATCTTGCTTCGAAAATACATTTCCAGCGATCGTGACTGCCGCAGCAAACCCATGCGCGACCTATCTCAAGAGAAGTGCGAACGCGCTGACATGCGAGCGCTGGATATGGCTGTCGACTGGGGTCGCGCGACTCGGAGGGGACAGGACAGTAACGAGCAGGCGATAAAAGCAACCTGCCGCTTGTGGTATGCGGGTGGCTATTAGGCGCGACGCGAGTGATTCCAGATGCTGGAGAGGTGTTGTTTGACTGATGAGAAACGAGTGGTGCAGTTTGGTTGAGAGAAAACAGCGTGCTAAAACAGTTCTTGATACAGAAAAGTTGAAACAAACGTGCACACGAACAGGTTAGTCAGGAATCACTCTTGTCTTTGAGTTATAAATCCAGCTTTGCGACATAGGATTTGTGAAGAATGAGGAATGATTGAACTAGGAAAGTGTTGGATACAAATGTGAAACCTTAGAAACCTGTACCCCTTAGTGTCTACCCCACTAGAGCCTACAAAGACTAAGTCATATATATCTGACACACCCCCATAGGCAAAGTGGGGGAGAACTAGGGGTCACAAGACCAGTCAAGCAAAGCAAGCTCAGGGTGGATCACAACGTCACCACACATTCCGAGCACAAGTTCAAAGCCACAAGGCCAGTTCACATGCAGAGAGATCATATATAAAGGTAAACAAGCAAGCGCAGGCATAGATAGATCACCGTACAAGCAAGGTCAAGAAGTGAGCAAGTGAGGCCAAGTAGGCACAAGACCTAGCATCGTACAAAAGCGCTGATGATCACAAGGCTGAAGTGCCTTGGTAAAGATATCAGCAGTGTTGGCCCGAGAGGCCACGTAAGCAAGGCGCAGCTGACCACGCTGCTGCAGCTCACGAGCAAGGAAGTAGCGAAGAGCAATGTGCTTCGTTCTGTGCTCAAGTCTGTGCTCCCGACACAAGGCCAGCATGGCCTTGTTGTCTACGTATAGAACTGGAGGAGAACGAGGCGGATCTCCCAGGTCAGTCAGCAGGTAGGTGAGCCAGCGTAACTCCTGTGTAGCCATGGCTCCTGCGTAGATCTCAGCCTCACAGCTGGAGCTGAGAACAGACGACGAGCGGGTAGACCGCCACGAAACAGAGCCGGAACCAAGGCTGAAGGTGTAACCCTGTGACGACCGCTGCGTAGCCAGGTCGTCGACCCAAGACGCGTCTGCGTGACCAGTGAGGACCACTGAACTCCGCCCTCCAAGCACAAGCCCCATGCCCGACGTACTGCACAAGTAGCACAACACCCTCTTCGCTGCAGCCATGTGCTCTGGTCGGTGTCTCCCAGGAGCAACATAGCGTGCCAAGATGCTAAGAGGGTATGCAAGGTCAGGTCGAGTGCAGGTCATCAGGTACATGAGGCAGCCAACAAGCTCTGGGTACGGGCCACTCGGCTCAACGGACTCATCCGAAGGCAGAGCTGAGAGCGAGTGGCGAGTAGACAGAGGAGTGGCCTGAGGCGAGGAGTACGTGAAGCCGAAGCGCTGAAGGACCTGCTGCATCATGTGTGACTGAGTCAGGGTAATGGTGCGCCGTGCTCTATCCCGGGTGATCTGCAAGCCGAGGTAGCTGCGCAGTTCACCCAGGTCTGTGCACGTGTGTCTCTTCTGCAGCTCCGACTTCACGTGGGCGAGTCCAGCAGTGTCAGCTGTAGCAAAGACCAAGTCGTCGACGTACACGAGGATGTAGAACGGCGGCAAAGAGGTGTCGGTGCGTAGAAACAGCGACGGGTCGGCAGTAGAAGGAGCAAACCCAAGAGCCGCAAGTGTAGTCCTCAGTGTGTCGTGCCACTCACGAGGAGCCTGGCGGAGACCGTAGACTGGCCGCCGAAGGCTCCACTGGGTACCAGGAGGAAACGACCCAGTGAAGCCAGGTGGGCGGCGCAGCCAGATCTCCTCGTGCAGGCTGCCCTGTAGAAAAGCTGTGCTGAAGTCAAGAGAGTGAAGCTCGTAGTCGCGCTGAGCGGCTATATGCAGCAGCACCCGAAGAGTGGTCATCTTCGGGGTGGGAGAGAAGGATTGAAAGTAGTCAACTCCCTGCCGCTGACTGAAGCCTCGAGCCACGTAACGCGCCTTGAAGACAGGCGGAGAACCCGGCGGCCGCTTCACCTTGAAAATCCACATGCCACTGACGATGTTCGCCCCAGGTGGGGGAACCTCGTTGACGTAGGTGCCTGTGGACTTCCAGGAAGCCATCTCTGCGTCCATGGCTGACTGCCACTGAGAGGAGTAGGGACCCTCTATCGCCTCTGCGTAAGAGCGCGGAGTCGGGATGTCTGGTGCATCCGGGTCTCCCTAAGGGGCAAGCAGCATGGACACGAGATGAGGTAAAGCAGCAGCAAAACACTGGAACTCCTCCTGCCTGTCCTCAAGAACGTCCGTGCTAAGAGCACACTCACCCCCGACGGACGGAGGACAGACAGACTCAGACTCAGCAACGAGACTAGCGGCATAGTCTAGACGACAGGCAGCAGCAAAGTCAACAAGCTCAGCAACCAAGGCAGACGCAGCAGTAGACTCAAAGGACGGGTCAGTGACAACAGTGGCTAACAGACGCGTGACAGTAGGGTGCTCAGCACGAAACCCGTCAGGGTCCGGAAAGGCAGGCAGAGAGGACGCAGGGGGAGACGGCAGAGGAACAGGCTGCGGAGCAGAGGAAGGATGACGGACTACGAGGTGTGCGCTGGGGACAGTTGGCTGACGCGAACGAGGAACACGACGACCGGTACGACCAGAACGAACAGGCGAGACAGGACGCGACGCAGGCTCACGACGCTCAACAAGACTACCTGTCTGCTCAGTGTAAGGAGAAGGAGCAGGCAGCGGTGAGCCAGGCTGTAACGGAAGACCAGTAGACGACGGGAGAGTAAGAACCTGACGAAGAACAGAGTCAGGCGGCGGCAGAGACGACGGAGACGGCGGAGCGAAGAACAGTCGTGTTGGCGCAGCTGCACCAGCCCCAGCAGCTCCAGCACCGCCAGCAGCTCCAGAAGCTCCAGCCCCAGAACCGGCACCTCCAGTCCCAGGGTCTCCAACCTCAGTGTCTCCAGCAGCAGCACCCCCAGAACCAGCACCTCCAGTCCCAGGGTCTCCAGCCTCAGTGTCTCCAGCAGCGGCACCCCCAGACGCAGTACTTCCAGTCCCAGGGTCTCCAGCCTCAGTGTCTCCAGCAGCGGTACCCCTAGACGCAGCACCCCCAGCCCCAGCAGCTCCAGTACCTCCAGTACGAGCACCTCCGGGACCAGCGACTCCAGCACCTCCAGTAGACAAAGTACCAGCACCACTCCCAGCTCCAGGGACGTCAGCAGAAGTACCTCCAGCAGCAGAGCCCCGAGCTCCAGCAGCGCGACCCTGACGGCGACCGTACCAGTCGTGCAGCTGCTGTGAGGTGAGAGGCACACGCGGACGAAGGCGGCTACTCCAAGGAGATTGCGCACCAGCAGTCCCAGTACCCTCAGGCGTCTCACCTCCAGACTCAACACCCCCAGACTCCGCACACACAGGCGCAGGACCTCTAGTCTCCTCACGCGCAGGCTCAGCACCCCCAGACTCCGCACCCCCAGACTCAGCACCCCCAGGCTCCGCACGCTCAGGCTCCGCACCCCCAGGCACCTCACGCTCAGGCTCCGCACCCCCAGACCCGGCACCCGCAGGCTCAGCACTCCTAGCAGCACCAGATTCGACAGCTACCTCGACAGGCTCGACTGCGTCTACCTGGGACACACCTGAGGGGGCAGGACCCTGAGGGGGGAGGGGGTCTACTGACAGGGAGGGGACCTGGCGCGAGGAAGAGCGGCGGGGGGGGGAGCGGGGCAGTGCGGTAGGGGAAGAGACGGTAGTACGGAACCGACTCGTCAAACGTGACGTCCTGGGAGGACAGAACACGGCGCGAGGTGGGGTGGTAAAACTGCCAACCAGGCGCGTCAGGGGGGAAGCCAAGGAAGACGCAGGGAACAGCACGGGAGGACAGCTTGTCCGCAGACAAGTCGCGGACAAAAGCTCGAGATCCCCAGACACGGAACGCAGACGCATCGCCAACCTTCCCCGTCCACCGCAGAGTGGGGGAGGTCTCCGGCATGGAGACCCGGGGCTGAAGGTTGATCTGATGCGCCGCGTACTGAACCGCAAACGACCACAGAAAATGGGGAGCAGCCGCATGGATCATGGACGTACGAGCGACGTCCATGACCATGCCAATGCGTCGCTCAACAATCCCATTTTGCTGTGGAGAGGCCGGAAGCGTGAACGTCTGGCGGATGCCCCTAGCACAACAGAAGGCTCGCAGAAGGTCGGAGGAAAACTCTCCACCTCTGTCGGAGTGCAGACGCAGAACAGGAAAGTCCGAGCCGAAACGCTCTCTGAGCTGGAGACGAGCAGCGCGGATCCAGTCGATCAACACCTCAGTGACCTCATCCTTGCGGCGCAAGGGGAAGACCGTGGTGTAACGCGAGTAGTCGTCAACCACCAGTAGGAAGTAACGCTCCTGACCCTGGCCACGGACGCGGGCTGGGCCCCACACGTCCATGTGAAGAGTCTGCAGCGGAGCCTCTGTCGGCGGAAACTCGGAGGAGTGAGGAGCGGCGCGCTGCCGCCCCTCGACGCAGGGAACGCAGGTAGGGGCAGGCCCCGGAGGAAGGGGAGGGAGAGACCGGGGGAGACCAGAGACAAGGACACGGGAGGCCATGCCTCGGAGACGAGGCAGGGAGGGGTGACCAAGGTGGTGGTGCCAGAGATGAGTCTGGTGGGACAGGAGGCGACACGAGCAGGGGGCAGACTCAGGACCAGACCGAGACGCTGCAGCAAACACCTGACCCGACGCAGCTACCTGACCAGGCACAGCAACCGGAGGAGACTCGGTAGTCAGTGTGTACAGGCTCGACCCCAGTTGACGGGTAAACGTGGCCAAGTGTCGGCCCGTCCGAGCACACGTGCAGTGGGTCACCCGCTGACTCGCAGGAGTGAACTGGTCAACCCCCCCATCCTGTAGGTCAGCACCACTCACCAAGTTCGTAGAGAACGAGGGGAGGTAAAGACCTGACAGGGAGCCAGACGGGGCCGCTGGACACGGTAGCACAGTGGAGTAGTGGGCAAGGACAGGACCCCCAGAGGGGTCTGCCAGGGAGACCGCAACCGGCCGACTGAGCGATGTGAGGGTGGTGCGGTCTCGAAAGAAGGAGCGGGAAGCACCCGAGTCAAGGGTGAAAGTGTGCAACGCCTGAGCAGACGTGGTACCTGAGAGAGCAGACTCACCAGCACCTGGAGCAGTAGACTCACTAGCACCTAGAGCAGCAGACTCACTAGCATCTAGAGCAGCAGCCGCAATGCCCGGGTCAGGCGGAACACACAGGTAACAGTCACCCTCATCACTAGTAGACACAGCATACATGGCAGCAAGAATAGCATCATAGTCAAGATCAAAGATAGCAACCCCCGACCTAAGCAGATCACCCTAAACCTCAGTGGCGTCAGGAAACTGGAGACGCCAGGCGTCTGTCAGGCGGCCGAAGCAGCGCTGGGTGGTGTGCGGCCCGCCGCACGGCTCCCCAGTGCGGTCACCAGTACGCAGGACGTAGGCACAGGGACCAGCACCCCCAGACCGCTGACGCGCAGCGTACCACTCACGAAGCTGCTGGGGTGGCGGGGTCTCACGAGAGCGCTGCTGCTGCTGACGCTGGCCACCACCGAAGCCTCCCCGCTGCACAGAGCCACCCCGACCAGCGCCACCGCCACCGCCGCCACTGCCACCGCCGCCACTTTCCTCCACTCCCACCGCCACCGCCGCTGCTGCCTCTGCCTCCACCGCTGCCTCCAGAGCCCCCACCTCCGCCACCACTCCCACCTCCACCCCCACCCCCTCCGCCTCCGCCGCCTCCACCGCCACCACCACCACCCCCGCCAGCTCCTCCAGCACCCTTGCCCCCCTTGCCCTTGCCGTTGCTGCGCCTCCCGCTAGGGGCTGACGCAGCGCCGACCGACTCGGTGCCAACGAGGTCGACAGCAGCAGCAGAGGCAACAGAGGGCAAAAGGGGAACGGGGGAGCACCCCTCAAAGAAAGGGGCACGAGGGTCACCACGAGAGGCTCCTACAGCGACTATGCTCTTCTCAGCTGCAAGGAGGCGCTCCTCGAGGAGGTCAACGGTGAGTGTGGTGGGGCAGAGAGAGAGGAAGTGATCCTTGACCGAGTGAAGGGAGTCAGGGAGCCGGGTGACTAGGTAGTAGAGGGTGATGTACATGGGGGGGGGGGGTTCTTGGCGCAGAACTCAGCAGGAAGCGCAGCGCGGTAGCGGGTGTCACTAGTGCGGAGGTGCGTAATTAGGTCGGCGACTGTAGCAAAGGCGGCGAGGTCAGGGAAAAGGTACGGCAGCATGAGGCGACTAAGGGCAGCAGAGGCAGGGGAGGAGTAGCGCGCAACGACAGCGTCGTACAAGGTCTTAGCACTCTTGTACTGACTAAAGTGCGCGCGCTCAGTGGACGGCAGGTGACTACGCACAGCAAGACGGGCAGCAGCATCGCGTGTGGTCCACTGTGAGCGAACAGTACTGTCAGCATCGGCAGCAGGGGCAGGAGAGGCGCCAGACGTGAGATCGAACAGTGAGAGACCATCTTTGCTATCGCACTGCAGGAAAAGCTGCAGATCATCGATCCAGACCTCAAAGTCTAGCGCACGACCCTCATCATCGAAGGTAAGAACATTGGGACTAGCCATGACAGCAACAGCAGCAGGCTAGCAGCAGCAGTAGCGGGCTAGCAGTAGCAGCAGCAGTAGGAGCGCGGCTCGGTCGTGCGCTTACCAGGAGCAGGTGGGTAGAAGGCCGCAAGTGGTGGGGCAGGGCCGAGGTGCGCCGGCAGGATCAGGGCCGCGACAGGGTGGCAGGGCAGGGCCGCGGCTCGGCTGCAGGGCAGGTCCGGGACGGCGGCGCCTGTCACGGCAGCGGCGGCGGCGGGTGTCACGGCAGCAGTGGTGGCGGCGGCTGTCACGGCAGCGGTAGTGGCGAATAGTAGCGGTGGCAGCGGAAGCGACGGCAGCTGCTGCTGGGGCGGCGACGACGGGGCGGCAGGGCGGCTACGGCGGGCCGCGAAGTGGGGGGGGGGGGGGGGCGCAAAAGCGCCGCAGAGGGGCCGCGAAGGGGCCGCGAAGGGCCGAGAGGGGGCCGCGAAGGGCCAAGAGGGGGCCGCGAAGGGCCGCGAAGGGGCCGCGAAGGGCCGTGAGGGGGTCGCGAAGGGCCGCGAAGGGGGCCGCGAAGGGCCTTAAGAGGGGCCGCGAGGGGCCGCGAAGGGGCCGCGAAGGGGCCGTTAAGGGGCAGGCCACAAAGGGGCCGCGAAATTTAAGGGCAGGGCGCGAAGCGCGCTTCGGGCAGGCTAAAAAAGTTTTCCGAAGGTGGGCCCTAGGAAGAAACGGTCCCACTAGGGAACCCGCTCTATACCATGTGAAGAATGAGGAATGATTGAACTAGGAAAGTATTGGATACAAATGTGAAACCCTAGAAACCTGTACCCCTTAGTATCTACCTCACTAGAGCCTACAAAGACTAAGTCATATATATCTGACATGATTGATTTTGAGCATCTCTCAAATTTACGTTGAGTTTTTTTAGACCAATGGGTGAACGGGTAGCACCAATGCAACTGAAAGAAATCTGTCCACATCATTATTAATACTCCTCTACAACTTTAGTAAAATGACCCGTCTGGCTTTAAGACCGGGTCCTGGCTCTTTGTCTGATTGTCAGACGAAAGATGTAACATTGTCTAGCTTTTCTGACGAATCCCAAGTACTTGTCTGAAATTTTAGATGAAGATATATAGTTTTTAAGATTTACAATGTTATTTGAAATGTTAATGTGCAGCCTCCAATGGTCTAGGCGGTACAATCGGGACTTATGAAGTCTCTGATTTGGGTTCGAATCTTGACGCCTCTGTCAGGCAGGTGCGGTCATCCTTTTGGTCCGCATACATTTTTCCTTCAATCGAGAAAATACTCGATGTCTGCAGTCTCAGACAAACTGTATAAGGCTGTCTGAGAAATCAGATGAAAAGAAAAAGCGTCTCTAAAAAATCAGATGAAATTAAACATGTCTGCGACATCAGATGAACCAGTAAAAACGTGTTCAGAATCCAGAAATTCAGAAAGAAAATTTCTGATAACGTAAGCCCTGCTCCTCTACCGGTAACACTGATTACCTATGTTTTTTTAAATGAAAACAAAATACCCAATTTCAGTTTTGTAAAAGATTTTTTGCATCTTAATTATAATGTTTGCAATTTTGGGATAATAATTTCGTACCATTGTGCTGAACACAATCTGCCTAACATGAAATAGCACTGCGTATAAAAATGCAGAAGTGCAGTTTTGGCCGAGGAGCTCCCTAGCGAGTATGGATTCACCATTTACACCTCGATTCTATCGCTCTACCCTTCTCAGACTCGAAGCCTCGCTACCAAACCTGTCTTCCTTCAGTTGCGGGAGGCACAGCGGCTCACCCTCAGGCATTTTCGGGTATGGGGGTACCCCAGAGGTTCGCCAGCGCTCCGTCTGCGGTCGGGCAGACGAAATCTATTATTTCATGCCGTCGACTTTGCAGGGAAGGGGCTCTGCTAGCGCGCAGCGGAAAACCTTTTGTCGGGGGCAGGAAACACGATCGAATCGGGGGTAGCAATAGAATCGGTTACCAGTGAAGACCCTTCGGTGAGACTCGGTTCACCAGCTGATTTCTGTTCCCGTTTTTGCGGTTTCAGTAAATTTCGGGCTGGGCAGCATGCCAGCGCACAGTTCCGATTTTCCGGAGCTGCTCGGGCAGCAGCTGAGAGTTTTCCTCTTTTTTTCCGTTTCTCCCTCCTCTGGGTGTTCCTCCATACAAGCTCCATCCCTATCGCGGCCGCTTCGTGTATCCTCACCTGGCCCTACAAATCCATAGTTAAGCATTCGTATTTTTCAGAGACCTATCCTGTTCGTTCGCTTGACTGAGCTGTTTTCTAAGCAAGTTCAGAGCTCTCGCCTTTTCATTCAGCTCGATATATTGCTCCCGCGGAAGCTCTGCGCAGTAAACGTTTAGATTATCTTCTCTTCTTCCTAGTCTCACTTCAGTTGCCTGATGGATTGTTACGACTATCCTACGTTCTCTGCGGCTGTGGCCCTCTGGGAGAAGCGTGGTATTCTGATCCAGGCGAAGCGTTTTGCTCCTGAGTCTGCTGAATATCCTACCTTTGCAGAACTTATGAGCCTCTGGAAACAACGGGACGCGTTGCTGCAGGCTGCGCGTCATGCAATGCTGCAGTCGCAATATGATCCTTATATGGCCTCCTCAGCTCGCTATCCGGCTGCTGAGGAGGAGGACACGTGGGTCATTTCTTCTGAGCAGCAGGAAGTGCCACGAGCTGAAGCAGAGGAGATTGCAGATGAGATTTTCTCACTGTTTATGGCTGCAGAGGGCGATTGTTCTGAGAACGATTCTGATCCGAGGAGCACATGCAGCAGTGACGTCAATTTCTTCGGTTCTGAAACGTCTAGCATGAGCAGCGTCTTCAGTGACAGCAGCAGCAGCGGCTTCAGTGACAGCAGCAGCAGCGGCTTCAGTGACAGCAGCAGCAGCGGCTTCAGTGACAGCAGCAACAGTGGCTTCAGTGACAGCAGCAGCAGCGGCTTCAGTGACAGCAGCAGCAGCGGCTTCAGTGACAGCAGCAGCAGCGGCTTCAGTGACAGCAGCAGCAGCGGCTTCAGTGACAGCAGCAGCAGCGGCTTCTGTGACAGCAGCAGCAGCGGCTTCTGTGACAGCAGCAGCAGCGGCTTCAGTGACAGCAGCAGCAGCGGCTTCAGTGACAGCAGCAGCAGCGGCTTCAGTGACAGCAGCAGCAGCGGCTTCAGTGACAGCAGCAGCAGCGGCTTCAGTGACAGCAGCAGCAGCGGCTTCAGTGACAGCAGCAGCAGCGGCTTCAGTGACAGCAGCAGCAGCGGCTTCAGTGACAGCAGCAGCAGCGGCTTCAGTGACAGCAGCAGCAGCGGCTTCAGTGACAGCAGCAGCAGCGGCTTCAGTGGCATTGCAAGGGAAGTGGCGTCAAGAGCATTGGTTGCTATTCCTGGTGAATCAGCTGCACTGCAGAGCACGAGGCAGCAGCAGGGAAGACTTGGGTTTGCAACACCTGGAGTGAGGGAAGCAGCTTCACGAGTGTTGGCTGCTCTTTTTGGTGGATCTCCCAGGGAAGGGCCAGCATCATCAGCACTGAGAAAGGAGCAGCATGATGAGGTTGGACGTGCGAGATCTGTAGTGAGGGAAGCAGCTTCACAAACGTTGGTTGCCCTTTTGAGTGGAGCTCTCAGGGAAGGCCCAGCATCATCAGCACTGGGAAAGAAGCAGCTGGAAAAAGTCGCAGGCAGGAGATTTGGAGCTTGGAAGGATGCTTTAAGGATGTCATGGGTAGCGGCAGGCAGGAGATTTGGAAGTTGGAAGGATGGTTGGATGATGTCATGGGTAGCGGCAATAAGGCCTCCATGGAGGCCCTAAGGGATGCTTTAGGGACACTGTACGGGATATTGCTTAGTTCTAGCTTTGTAAAATTATTGTTATGTTCTTTTTATTATAGCCATTGTTGTGTTATGATATGAATATTAATAGAATAGTTCAGTCACAGTTGCACATGGCTGGCATCACGACAAGAAGAGCTTCTATTCCTTCTGGAAACAGTAAATGGTGGATCTGGATGCTTGTATTCCGTTACAACATCAGGCCATGCATTGTCATTTTATTGTGTCCTACCGTATATGAAGTGATCAGACGGACCGGCTGCACTATTACAAGCCCTTGGATGGTTCATGGCAGCCAAGTTTCACATTCTAAGCGAATAGATCTGACACTGCAAGCGCATAAGTTCAGCTAGAACATTTGACCGCATGTAATGTAGCCATTCTGTTTTGCTAGCTGGGAGATGGATTCGCCATGCCATGCCAACCTTAGCTGGCAAAAAACTGACAAGACAGCTTTGGTAGGTAGGTGAATAACAGTAGGAATCTTGACGCAGGAAACGTGAATCTGCACATGGAAAGAGCAATGGAAAAAACAGATGGGGATGTGGTAGGAAACTTTAGGTTAGCAGTGGACCAATGGCACCAAAATGAGGGGAGAAACATTGCAAAGTGACAAAAATACCAACCCTAGCCATTTCCCATTCTTCTACTTGCACCCTCAGCCAGCACGCCCATTCTTCTCCCATGGTTCATGGGCTCATTGCCACGTGGCAGTCACAGACCAATGACATGCTGGCAGTGCAGTGTCAAGCTGGAACCGAGTGACGAGGAGATGGATGATGGAGGTGAGGTGGACATCAAGTCGACTGAACAGCCACCTCTGACGCATCAGATGAAAAATCTCTGACCCATCAGATGAAAAGTCACCTCATTGTTGGTTCAGATGAGCTCGTACCTCGGGATGATGAGGAGGTGGATGATGGAGGTGAGGTGGACAGCGAGTCGACTGAACTGAACTGAACAGCCACCTCTGGTGCATCAGATGAAGAGTCACCTCATGGTCGGTTCAGATGAGCAGGTACTTGGGACGCAACCTGTGAATGACCGACGATGAGATGAAAATGTGCCAATGTGCTTGCTCTGGCTGACCATGATAGGATGATGGCAGTGTGAATGTGCCAATGTGCTTGCTCTGGCTGACCATGATAGGATGATGGCAGTGTGAATGTGCCAATGTGCTTGCTCTGGCTGACCATGATAGGATGATGGCAGTGTGAATGTGCCAATGTGCTTGCTCTGGCTGACCATGATAGGATGATGGCAGTGTGAATGTGCCAATGTGCTTGCTCTGGCTGACCATGATAGGATGATGGCAGTGTGAATGTGCCAATGTGCTTGCTCTGGCTGACCATGATAGGATGATGGCAGTGTGAATGTGCCAATGTGCTTGCTCTGGCTGACCATGATAGGATGATGGCAGTGTGAATGTGCCAATGTGCTTGCTCTGGCTGACCATGATAGGATGATGGCAGTGTGAATGTGCCAATGTGCTTGCTCTGGCTGACCATGATAGGATGATGGCAGCGTGAATGTGCCAATGTGCTTGCTCTGGCTGACCATGATAGGATGATGGCAGCGTGAATGTGCCAATGTGCTTGCTCTGGCTGACCATGATAGGATGATGGCAGCGTGAATGTGCCAATGTGCTTGCTCTGGCTGACCATGATAGGATGATGACAGCGTGAATGTGCCAATGTGCTTGCTCTGGCTGACCATGATAGGATGATGGCAGCGTGAATGTGCCAATGTGCTTGCTCTGGCTGACCATGATAGGATGATGGCAGTGTGAATGTGCCAATGTGCTTGCTCTGGCTGACCATGATAGGATGATGGCAGTGTGAATGTGCCAATGTGCTTGCTCTGGCTGACCATGATAGGATGATGGCAGTGTGAATGTGCCAATGTGCTTGCTCTGGCTGACCATGATAGGATGATGGCAGTGTGAATGTGCCAATGTGCTTGCTCTGGCTGACCATGATAGGATGATGGCAGTGTGAATGTGCCAATGTGCTTGCTCTGGCTGACCATGATAGGATGATGGCAGTGTGAATGTGCCAATGTGCTTGCTCTGGCTGACCATGATAGGATGATGGCAGTGTGAATGTGCCAATGTGCTTGCTCTGGCTGACCATGATAGGATGATGGCAGTGTGAATGTGCCAATGTGCTTGCTCTGGCTGACCATGATAGGATGATGGCAGTGTGAATGTGCCAATGTGCTTGCTCTGGCTGACCATGATAGGATGATGGCAGTGTGAATGTGCCAATGTGCTTGCTCTGGCTGACCATGATAGGATAATGACGGTTCAGAGGTGAGCAGATGGCAAACCAGCAAACGACCTTCAGGGTGAGCAGCAGGCGATGACGCTGGCAGGCCAGCAGCAGGGCTGTGAAGGTATGGATGGGCAGACAGGAGGGGAGGGATCTAGGGAGGTAACCATTATGTTATAGGCTAGGGTATTTTTTGGATAAGTGTATATACGCTATAAGCGTATTTGGCAACTTAGGAGGGAACCATTGAACGGCCTAGAACTTGCTAAGGCGCTCCCTCTGTGTGAGCAGCAGGTGTGATGACGGTTCAGCAGCGGACCTGGGAAGGTACGAATGAATGAAGACAGGACGGGAGGGGGATAGGGGGAGAGAGGTGGAGGGAAGAGGGAGGTGGAGAGGGAGATGGAGAGGGGAGAGGTGAAAAAGAAGATTGGGAGTATGGCTGGCTGGCTGTGTGCTAAGTTGCCAAATACGCTTATAGCGTATATACGCTTATCGTATATACGCTAGCGTATATAAGCTATCCGCTTAGGGGGCGACTTGGACATACGCTTTTTCGGGCAGGGAAAAAACTTCCCCGGGCAGGGCAAAAACAGCCGCCAGGGCTGTTATAGGGAGGAATCTAGGGTGTTATGTTTCAGAGGTGATATTTTTACCCCACAATTAGATTGCAACTCCTACACATATTACTACATAATACTCTCCTACCGCCAGGGCTATTATAGGGGGGAATCTAGGGTGTTATTCCACGATTTTTTTAGGTCGGGCTTCCCCCAAAAAATATTTGCCAGCGTTTAGCGTATTTGCTGGTGTTTAGCGTTTAGTGTGTAAACGCCAGCGTATATCCGCTAAACGCAAAGGGTCTCTAGCGTTTTTGGCAACTTGGGTTGTGTGCACTAGTGAGAATTCTCAAGAGTGCTGGTTGGAATGGAATGAGTTGCATGCTGGTTATTTTTGAGACACCTTAAAAACTAGCTTTGCGCAGCGCATGGAGTGCTGGTTGGAATGGAATGAGTTGCATGCTGGTTATTTTTGAGACACCTCAAAAACTAGCTGTGCGCAGCGCATGGAGTGCTGGTTGGAATGGAATGAGTTGCATGCTGGTTATTTTTGAGACACCTTAAAATCTAGCTGTGCGCAGCGCATGGAGTGCTGGTTGGAATGGAATGAGTTGCATGCTGGTTTTTTTTGGGACACCTTAAAAACTAGCTTTGCGCAGCGCATGGAGTGCTGGTTGGAATGGAATGAGTTGTATGCTGGTTAAGCACGCGGAACCGATGACTCACAAGGGATTTGAGTGCGTTTGAATGGTTCACGAGAAGGTTCAATGATTACCAAAGGACACCAAGGCAACACACGAGGTGACTTTTGAGTCGACTCAAAACTCAGAAGGTTCAGTGATTACCAAAGGACATGCTTTGAGTTTGCAAAACCAAGGCAACACACGTGCACTGCACATCATTCCCCACCCACACCAATCCCGAACCTGACACACAAGGTTTAATGCCCTAGATATGCCAAGACCTTGCCTGGATCCAGTGACCATCTGCTTTCTTGTGAGACAAAAAGCAGATTGCAGCACCGGTAGGACACTAGCCAAGACTTTACCTGGATTTGGTGACAACAGCATTCTATGCAAGGCAAAGTGCAGCACTAGTGAGACACTTACAAAAACCAAGAGGCTCAGGGTGTGTTTGGGTAGTCTCAAAAACTCTATGCAGCATGCATGCAACACAGCGCTAACACCCATCTCAGAGACGTCTGTATCGAGGGGACTCAGAAGCACATCATCACTGCCCTTCGCCTTTACTACATCTCAAAATCCACTTTCTAGGCAGCATGCATGCAGCACTGGCAGTAGCACCCATCTCAGAGACGTCTGTGTCGAGGGGACTCAGAAGCACATCATCACTGCCCTTCGCCTTTAAGACGTCTCAACATCCCTTTTTAGCACCCATTTTTCTCTCCAAGCAAAGTTGGATTCCAAGTCTTTCCGAGCTTCGCTCTCCACCCTCCTCCCTTCCACAACTGAAGGCGGACTCCTCATAAAAAATCCAACCATCAGCCAGCAATTCAATGCTCTCGCTTGTTATGCGAGCCATTTCAGCAAATCAATAAAGAGGTCTGGGTCGCAATGCGCCAGCCTTTCACTCCATGTTTCGAAAGGCTGTTTCGAAGTGAAAGGCCTTAGAAACAGCCTTTCGAAGCTCCGATTAACTTGGGATCCAACTCTGCTCGGAGAGAAAAATGGGTGCACTGAGGATGATGGGTGCATGGCTTCCGGGTCCAACTTGATGTATTATTTTAGGCGCGTCAAAAAACATCAAAATGGATGCAGTCAGGATGATGGGTGAATGGCTTCATGGTCCAACTAACTTCACCAAAAACGAGCAGGCGTGGGTGCGCTATTTAATCCACACGCCTCAGTTTTTTCGCTGAGGCGCCTCGGCTTAGGAGCAAATGTGGGTGTGTGAAGAGGTCAGTCTCAGAGAGACAGATATGCTCATGCCAATGTCAGGAACGGTAGAAATGCCACCTTGAAGCGATAGAAATCCCACCTGAAGCCACAAAAATCTCACCTGAAGCCACAAAAAACCCCACCTGAAGCCACAAAAGTTCCCACCTGAAGCCACAAAAATCCCACCTGAAGCCACAAAAATCCCACCTGAAGCCACAAAAATCCCACCTGAAGCCACAGAAAACGCACCTGTAGCCACAGACAACCACAGGTAACCCTAACAAAGCCAATAACCACCCACCTGAAATCAGAGATAGAGGAACCTGAAGCCACTGGGTGAATTTTGCAAATTCTCAAACTTGCTTCAGAGAATTCTCGAAAGCTACCCAACTGAAACCAGAGATAGAGGAACCTGAAGCCACTGGGTGAATTTTGCAAATTCTCAAACTTGCTTCAGAGAATTCTCGAAAGCTACCCACCTGAAACCAGAGATAGAGGAACCTGAAGCCACTGGGTGAATTTTGCAAATTCTCAAACTTGCTTCAGAGAATTCTCGAAAGCTACCCACCTGAAACCAGAGATAGAGGAACCTGAAGCCACTGGGTGAATTTTGCAAATTCTCAAACTTGCTTCAGAGAATTCTCGAAAGCTACCCACCTGAAACCAGAGATAGAGGAACCTGAAGCCACTGGGTGAATTTTGCAAATTCTCAAACTTGCTTCAGAGAATTCTCGAAAGCTACCCACCTGAAACCAGAGATAGAGGAACCTGAAGCCACTGGGTGAATTTTGCAAATTCTCAAACTTGCTTCAGAGAATTCTCGAAAGCTACCCACCTGAAACCAGAGATAGAGGAACCTGAAGCCACTGGGTGAATTTTGCAAATTCTCAAACTTGCTTCAGAGAATTCTCAAAAGCTACCCACCTGAAACCAGAGATAGAGGAACCTGAAGCCACTGGGTGAATTTTGCAAATTCTCAAACTTGCTTCAGAGAATTCTCGAAAGCTACCCACCTGAAACCAGAGATAGAGGAACCTGAAGCCACTGGGTGAATTTTGCAAATTCTCAAACTTGCTTCAGAGAATTCTCGAGAGCTACCCACCTGAAACCAGAGATAGAGGAACCTGAAGCCACTGGGTGAATTTTGCAAATTCTCAATCTTGCTTCAGAGAATTCTCGAGAGCTACCCACATGAAACCAGAGATAGAGGAACCTGAAGCCACTGGGTGAATTTTGCAAATTCTCAAACTTGCTTCAGAGAATTCTCGAAAGCTACCCACCTGAAACCAGAGATAGAGGAACCTGAAGCCACTGGGTGAATTTTGCAAATTCTCAAACTTGCTTCAGAGAATTCTCGAGAGCTACCCACCTGAAACCAGAGATAGAGGAACCTGAAGCCACTGGGTGAATTTTGCAAATTCTCAAACTTGCTTCAGAGAATTCTCGAAAGCTACCCACCTGAAACCAGAGATAGAGGAACCTGAAGCCACTGGGTGAATTTTGCAAATTCTCAAACTTGCTTCAGAGAATTCTCGAAAGCTACCCACCTGAAACCAGAGATAGAGGAACCTGAAGCCACTGGGTGAATTTTGCAAATTCTCAAACTTGCTTCAGAGAATTCTCGAGAGCTACCCACCTGAAACCAGAGATAGAGGAACCTGAAGCCACTGGGTGAATTTTGCAAATTCTCAAACTTGCTTCAGAGAATTCTCGAAAGCTACCCACCTGAAACCAGAGATAGTGGAACCTGAAGCCACTGGGTGAATTTTGCAAATTCTCAAACTTGCTTCAGAGAATTCTCGAAAGCTACCCACCTGAAACCAGAGATAGAGGAACCTGAAGCCACTGGGTGAATTTTGCAAATTCTCAAACTTGCTTCAGAGAATTCTCGAAAGCTACCCACCTGAAACCAGAGATAGTGGAACGTGAAGCCACTGGGTGACGAAATAGCAGCAGCGAAGGATCACCTAACACACCCAAACCCAATACCATCTGAACCCATTACCACCACTCCACCTCCTCAAACTCATCCTCCCATCCTCCTCATCCTCCTCCCCCACCTCCTCCTTTCCCTCTCTATCCCAACCCGGTACCCATCCTTCTCTCACCCTTGTTTCGCCCTGCATTCACCCATGCGCAGCGCAGTAGCGCCTCCCACTCGCAAGGTCCGCTTTTCCCCTAGTAGCCCTCGCTGCGTGGGCCGTCTGCTGCGCCGTCTGCTGCGCCATCCGCTGCTCCATTCTCTGCGCCATCCGCTGCGCCATCCTCTGCTTTATTTTTGCGCCGTCCGTTGCCCAGACCGCTGCTGCGCTTAGCGTGTCGCTCCTAGCGTGCTGCAGCTGCTACACTAGCGCCGATTGACGCTGCCGCATCACTGCCATTCAACGCCTAGTACTTAATCACCTAATGCTGCGATCTTGCGTTGAGCGGATCTTGCGTTGAGCGGATCTTGCGTTGAGCGGATCAACGGTGGCCATCGGTGATCAGCACCATCCGCGGCTGATCCGCGGGATCGCGGCATCGCCATCCGCGCCGTCAGCGCCATCCGCGCCATCCGCGCCATTCGCGGCGCTACTCAGAAGGACCATGATCTGCGGCCTGCGTCATACCATGATCAGCTTTTGACGCGCCCCCTGAGGCGACTGTTGAAGCGCCTGACAAAGAACAAAAGGTAGTTATTCGACGCGCCTCAACAGCCATCTGCGGCGCTTCTCAGAAGAACCATGATCCGCGGCGCTTCTCAGAAGAACCATGATCCGCGGCCTGCGTCATCCCATGATCAGCTTTTGACGCGCCCCTTAAGGCGAATTTCGAGGCGCCTCAAACGCCATCTGCGGCGCTACTCAGAAGAACCATCCGCAGCGTGTTTCGTCAATGCCATCGGTGATCTGCGCCATACGCGGCTCTACTGCCGCTGATTGTAGCGCCTCAGCACCGGCCGCGTCGCTGCCATTCAATGCTTTCATAGTGCCACCTAATGCTGCGAGCCTGCGTCAATGCCATCAGTGATCTGCGCCATCTGCGGCTCCACTGCGGCTAATTGTAGCGCCTCAGCACCTGCCGCATGATCAGCGGCGGCTCTACCGCCGCTCAGCCCTGACCTTCGAGGCGCCTCGAAAAGCGCGACGCGGGTATCCGAGATGGCACTGACACATGACAAGATAAGTTTTCACGATAACACACTAACCGATAGTGGCTCACGGAACTTGTCGGTGGCAAACATAACATTCGCTTTCGGACAAACCGACAAACTGAATAATAACATATATACATATACGTATATAGTTTCTGCGAAACCAGACTGCCAAAAAAAAAAAAAAACAAGAGGCGACGAAATCGTCTTAGGGTTGCGAAGCGTTTCGCAGAAGAAATGCATTTTGTGCAACTGTTAATGTAAAGGTTTGAATTTTGTTTTCTCTTACTATATTTGTAAAGGTCTGTGCAACTTCTAGTACCGAGTATGATTTTATGTTTCTGGTAGAGGTTTGCAAAAGCTGCCTTCAGCTTTCGAGCCCACAACCTTTCTGTTTCAGTTCGGACTGCAAACCACTGCGCTACTACGCTGCTGGTTACATTTCTCTTTAGCTTTTGACAGTTTCTTTCTCTCGCCTCTCTCGCTGGGCTAGGTTTCTTAGACATCCTCCCGCCAGTCACTCTCCACCTACCAATCTAAGGTGAGAAAATTTTTAAGCTTTCTAGTAGAACTAAGTTAGAATATTAAAACCTAGACTAACATCTCCTAGTCTCGTCTCTTAGTTGTTTAGAAGAGATGCGGATTGTTTAAGTTAAGGGTAGAGGCCGTTTGTAAAGACTTCACCTTTTTCCCTTGCCTTTCTTAGGTCCTATTCTTCGTGTCTTACTGCATATCTAGCATCTATTTCTTTTGTTCTTTATCGTTTCAGCCTTTCGTCGTATGCATATTTCACTTTTTGTTGTTCTTAGATCTAGAACCGTCATAACCTCCTATTTGACGCGAAGTCGATTAAGGCCTAATATTTCTGTCGGTTTATTCGTTATCTTTCATAATCTCATTGGTTTTCTTTCTCGTATGGCGTCTCTCTCCTTGTCCAACTTTCTCGCTCGTCCCCCTCCCCCTCGTCCGTCCACTTCTCTCCTTTGAACGCTACTTTCTTCTCTCGTTCGTTCACTCTCTATTTCTCGTTCATTCTCTCGTTCGTTCTCCCTCGTTCTCTCTCTCTCGGTCCCTCTCTCTCTCGTTCTCTCTCTTACTCGTTCTCCTTCTCTCGTTCTCCCTCCCTCGCTCTCTCACTCTCGTTTTTTTTCTCTCTCGTTCGCTCTCTCTCGTTCTCTCTCTCTCGTCCCAATTCTCTCGTTCTCTCGTTCCCTCTCTCTCGTTCTCATTCTATCTCTCTCGCTATCTCGTTCTCTCTCTCGTTCTCGTTCTCGTTCTCTCCCTCTCGTTCTCGTTCTCTCACTCTCGTTCTTGTTCTCTCTCTCATTCTCACTCTCCCGTTCTCTCTCCTTCGTTCTTCTCTCTCCTTCATCTCTCTCTCGTTCTCTCGTTCTCATTCGTTCGTGCGTTTTACTTGTACGCTTCTTTTCTTCTCTCGTTCTTTCTCTCTCTCTGTCTCTCTCACTCGTTCTCTCTCTCTTCTCCTCTCTAACTCGTTCTCTCTCTCTCTCTCTCTCTCTCTCTCTCTCTCTCTCTCTCTCTCTCTCTCTCTCTCTCTCTCTCTCTCTCTCTCTCGTTCTCTCTCTCTCTCTCTCTCTCTCTCTCTCTCTCTCTCTCTCTCTCTCTCTCTCTCTCTCTCTCTCTCTCTCTCTCTCTCTCTCTCTCTTCTTTCCTTTGTTCTGTACTTTTCCATTCTTACCTACGTGTAGCTCTTTGGACTTTTCTTACCCTTTTTCTCTTTCTTCTTTTCCGTTAACTCTAATTCCCTGCTATTTGTGTTCAGAAAGCCAGCTTGTGTGTTTTTTTTTTTTTTTTTTTTTTTTTTTCCAATTCGTCATCTATATCCTCTCAACTTCTATTCCCCATTTCCCCCTTTCGTTTTCCTATTTCTACTTTTCAGAGGCTTTGCTGTACCATTCGGGAATTGAAGGTCCTTTTTAAAGGAGGAACGATCACATTTGTGGCGATTAGGCCTAATTGTGTTGTATTGTTTGTTAGTGATCTTTTGCATCTTCTGTTTTTTTTTCTCCTTCGTAAGTTCTTTTGCATTGGCTTGTTCCGAGCTTCTGTGCGTGCGTGTGTTCGTTTGATTGCGTGCGTATGTGTCCGTATGTGTGGCATTCATCTACCATATCATTATCCATCTGTTATTTCATTAACAATGCATGTCTGTGGTTTTTAGAAATGAGAATCAGTTCTATCATTTCCCAAAGGTTCATTGAGTTACACTCGAACGGGTACGCTCACTTGAACTGGATTTGGTAGGTTGATCTCGTTTTTAGACTTCACAGATTGTGTTGTTTCATGTGGTAGTTGATTATTCAAAAGCTAAGCTATTGACCTCCCCCCCATGCTAGGCAGGGGATGGCGGTAGCTTAGTTTTTGGGTTGTTAACTGTCACGCATTTTATCATGTGCATGTGCATCATTCATGACATATCACATGCATTATATAGCATCATTCTATGCATTATGCATTGTATAGCATCATTTATGCATTACGCATGCATCTCTTTATCATTACACAACATCATCTAACAGTAACATATAATGCAAACAGTACAGCAAATCTACACTAAACAATTGCAAAAATATCATTTGGTTTAATGCACTATGAACAGTACCGTATTCAAAACTGCTCAACATGCATACAGGAAGGGTATTATTGTAGTTGACAAATTTTATTTTCATGATTTTATAAAATTTTATAATTATGAAAATAAAATCTGGCAAAATCGATCGTAAAGGGTTGCTTCGCAACCCAAAAAACAAGAGTCGACTAGATCGTCTTAGGGTTGCGAAGCTTTTTGCGTAATCACATAAATTTGTACAGCTTCTAATTCTGTACATTTGCTGTAGTATGACACTAAGAGGGACAAAATTCGGCAAGGATTCAAAATTTCACATCAGCTGGAATCGAACTAAAGACCTTGCGAATCCAGCTTCACTCCTAAGTCGACTGCGACAGCACCGACACGCGTTTCGTGCCACGAAAAAATCATTGTTTCTTGCGATGAATCCAAGACTCCCTTAGGGTTTGTTCGTCCTTTTTTTCTCCCGCTGCTCCTTCTCCCTAGTTAAGCTCCCCGCCAAACACGCTCCACCTACTAGTGCAAGGTAAGAACCACCCTAACTTATCATTTTGAGCCAAATTAGATCATTACACGCTAGACTACCATTTCTTGGTCTCATATCGTAGTCGTTTAGCATAGTATTGGCCGCATGTTGTTTAAGGCTTAGGTTCTAGAATTGTTGTAGATACTTTAGCTTTAGGTCTTTCACTAGATTTGTGTCTTTCAGTTTTAAATGTCGTTCAACGTTCGTTCGCATTCAACTATGCACGGTTTAGGCATATCTCGGTGAGTTCGTAGCTAGGTGCGTTTATTTATTTCATTTCATTTCTTTCGCCTTTCATCTGTTTTTCTTACCCGTTCCTCTTTCCATCTTGATCTTAACGTTAGTTTTTTTGTCAGCCATGAACTTCTCTTGCACCTCGTTTGTTTCCACCATTCGTTTCTCTTGTTACATATTTGTTTTCTTCCATGGTTATCTTTTCTTTGTTAGCCTGAACGCGTTCCTTCTAGTTTTATTGCTCGTCCCGAGAACCTAATTCCCAATCTTTTGAAATCTCTCTCTCTCTCTCTCTCTCTCTCTCTCTCTCTCTCTCTCTCTCTCTCTCTCTCTCTCTCTCTCTCTCTCTCTCTCTCTCTCGTTCTCTCTCTCTCGTTCTCTCTCTCTCTCTCTCTCTTTCTCTCTCTCTCTCTCTCTCTCTCTCTCTCTCTCTCTCTCTCTCTCTCTCTCTCTCTCTCTCTCTCTCTCTCTCTCTCTCTCTCGTTCTCTCTTTTCCGTTCTGTCTCGTTCTCTCTTTCTCGTTCTCTCTTTTCCATTCTGTCTCGTTCTCTCGTTCTCGTTCTCTCGTTCTTTTTCTCTCACGATTTTTTCTCGTTTCCTTTCCATTCTTTTTAATGGTCACTGTTTTTTTGTAAGTCTGCTTTCTCCCTCCTCATTTCCTGGTGTTACTTAGATCGTTTTCCCTTTATTTCAGATCGTGTTATTTGAGTCGTGTTTCATTTTTTTCTCTTGATTTTTATAACCGTTAATAGGATTTTTTTTATAACCCGCCGCAATAGGTTAATCGCCTTTTTACAAGTCGTTTTCTATATTTAGCTCGCTTGTCCTAAGCCTTCCTCTTATTTGCTGTTTATTGGACGAGAATCTAAACTTCCCCTCCCTCCTCTCTCTTTCCCCCCACCACCCTTCCCTCCCCTCCTTCCCCCCCCCCCCTCCCCCCCCCCCTCCCCCCTTTTTTAAATGTTCAGAGGCTTTGCTATTTCCTGCGCGCTGCCAGGATTTCTTATGAAGTGTAACGATAATAGTCGTGACTTGTAGAGCTGTAATATATTGATAAATCTTGTTTGCATTTGTTTTATTGTTTTTACTGTTTTTTTTGCATTGCCCTTATGTGTGTGAACGGATTCTGTCTGAGTTGTGTGCATATCGGTATGTGTGTCAGTGCGTGTCTTTGTGTGTGCACACTCATCCGTATGCATCTGTCATCGCATTAACAATGCGGATCTGTGGGTTTTAAAAAGATGGTCAAACCATCATTTCCGAGAAGGTTCTTTGCGCACTCAGTGAGTGTGTCCACTTGAACTGGATTTGATGGATCTTGATCATTTTTTTAATTTACACAGATTGTGTTGTTTCATGTAACGGTTGGATGATTCAGAAACTATGCTATTGAGCTCCCCCCCATGCTAGGCAGGGGATGCGGTAGCATAGAGCCTGTGTCAATTAACTGTTACGCATTTCCATCATGCTAAGCATTCATTTAACTACGACTTAAAGCTGGAAAATATACTATGGTATATTTACCACAGTAGCATATGCATTATATTTATGCATTGTTCATTCAATATTTGGTTCACCATATCCATCATTATACTTCATCTATGCATAACATGGTACGGAATAGACAGTCATGCGTTCACAGTAACATCATTTCGGCAACACATGTTCATGTTTGATCCATACAATATACGGGTAGGTTCAGTCGAGGCAAACTAGGAAATGAGAACGAATGTGGCGAATTGCCGAGGCAAATACATACCGTAGCAGTCAATCACTTACCATAACTACCGTTCGCTACATTTATTTTTATTTTTTTCGAGGTTGAAAAAAAATTGTACATAACGATCGTAATAGGTTGCTTCGCAACCCAAAAAAACAAGAGGCGACGAAATCGTCTTAGGGTTGCGAAGCATTTTGAATAAATAACTTATTTTTGTTCATGTTCTGTCACTTAGTATTGATCCCATTTTGCGTTATTTTATTTTCTAAGAAAACTCTCTATACCGAGTACAAAACTCAGAGGCTTGGAAAATTGTGCCTTGGGGCTCGAATCTCAGACCGTTCGATTCCAGCTCCTCGTTCAATCGACTGCTAAACAAACTGTTCTCACTGTGGCTTATTTGTTAATAGGGTCGTTTTAGCAAAAATCGTCAATCTCTAGGGTTTCGTAAAATTTCTCCTCTTTCGCTGCTCTTCCAACCACATACTCATACAACTCCCGCCACTCACGCTAGTCCAGCTCCTCAGGTAAGCACTAGTACCTCTATTCTCTCTATTTTCTCCGTTCCTTCTATTTCGATCGGATATGCTAGCTCTTTCTCGATTCTTCCTCCCTTATCCGTCTCCGTTCTTCGATTTCCGTTCTTTATCTTCTCATAAACGTCGTTCTGCTGGTGCAAGTTGTGCTGGCGTCTTTTTTAATGGTGCCAGACGGGCTAGACGCGATTGTTGTGAGAATTAGGCAAAAGAGGAATGAACTAGCAAGAATGGGGATACAAATAGCAAACCCTAGAAGGGTTGTACTCGCTACAGAGCACCCCACTACAGGCTAGAGCATAATATTCTGACACACCCCCATAGCCAAAGTGGGGTGTTGTTGTAATCAGCAGAGGAAACAAAGCAGTACAAGCTCAGGGTGGATCACGATGTCACCACACATTCTGAGCACAAGCAAGAAGCAATAGTTTAAGGTTCACAATTATGAGCAAAGCTAGAGGCAGTCACAGGGGGCAAGTGAGGAGGAGGAGGGCTGGCGAGAGGAGAGTAGATAGGAGGCGACGACTGAAGCTGCAGACACACGGGCAACAGACGGCTCTGGTGCGACAACGTGGCTACCGGGAATGAGTGCCCCGGAGTACAGGAGTAACAGGCTCCGCGGCTAATATGCGCGGCAGGAGCAACGGACCCACAGGCGACGGCGCAACCGGCTCTCTGAGCTACCGGTGGCTAATCGACCCCCGGAATACAGGCGCTGCGGACGACACGACGGCGGCCTCCGCTCAACCTCCTCCAACTGTCCCACACCCCTCGACACACACCCCCTGCTGAACCCCTAGCTCCACTCCCACGGCACCCCCCTTTAAACCCTAACCCTCGGCTCCCACACATCCACCCCCCTCAGCGGCAGCTGCAGCAGTGGGAGACGGCGCACACACACGGCACCCCCATAGCTGCCACCCCCACACTCCTCACCCCCAAACCCCGAAATAACGGGCGGAACGGGGGAAGGAGCACGGGGGACGGCGAGGGGGACGGCGCGCGGCCCCCAGGACGCCACCACGGGGCAGCGAGGGGCCGCGCGCGGCTCCCCAGGGCGGCGCGACGGGAAATCGGGGGCCGCGGGCGACGGGATCGCGGGGCCGCGGGCGACGGGATCGGGGGGCCGCGGGCGACGGGATCGCGGGGCCGCGGGCGACGGGATGGCAGGGCCGCGGGCGACGGGATCGGGGGGCCGCGGGCGACGGGATCGCGGGGCCGCGGGCGACGGGATCGCGGGGCCGCGGGCGACGGGATCGGGGGGCCGCGGGCGACGGGATCGCGGGGCCGCGGGCGACGGGATCGGGGGGCCGCGGGCGACGGGATCGGGGGGACGCGGGCATCCCCCACGGGAGGAAACCGCCGCGCGCCTCGGGGCGCACGGCGGGGAGAAACCCGCCGCACGCCCCGAGCGCGCGGCGGGATGAAAAATCCGTAAAAAAAAAATTCGGAAGGAAGGAGGCGTCGCGCGACCAGTAGAACAGCAGCGGAAGCATTTGGTGGTGGGCCCACCCACAGGATCGACCCAACAGGATCGTCCTGCTCTGATAGCATGTTGTGAGAATTAGGCAAAAGAGGAATGAACTAGCAAGAATGGGGATACAAATAGCAAACCCTAGAAGGGTTGTACTCGCTACAGAGCACCCCACTACAGGCTAGAGCATAATATTCTGACAGCGATCGCGCCGTTCTTAGCGTCATGTTCGTTATCCATTTACATATTCGGTTTTCTGATATACATGTTTCGTTTCTTGTTTCTCTCTCTTCTCTTCTCTTCTTCTTTCAGTCCTCCATCTCTTCCTTATTTTCCATTTTCCGGTTCGCATCCTCTTATTCTAGTCATGTACTTCTTATTCTTAGTTAGCCCTCCCTCTCCTACTTCCTCTCGTTCTTGCAACTTAAACTCGTTAGATACGTATGTTTGTTAGGTCGACTTGATTCTAACCTAGGACGACTTAGGTATAAACTAGGTCGGCTTAGATCTTGTTTTAACTCATGTTTTTTTCCGAAACCGTAGATTATTGAACGCTATCTCTCTCCCTCTCGTTCGTTCTCTCTCGTTCTCTCTCGTTCTCTCTCTCTCTCTCTCTCTCTCTCTCTCTCTCTCTCTCTCTCTCTCTCTCTCTCTCTCTCTCTCCCTCTCTCTCTCTCTCGAACGGTCCTTCGTATTAATATCATCACGGTACAAACAAGGTACTTCAGCAAACACATGCACCAGAGCGACAATATCAGTCCCCTATCCCGTCACCTCTACCTCCGCCTCCCCCCCTTTCCGGCCCTAGTGGCCGGAGGGGTCTTCTACCAACTGGTATAGCTGGTACTCGCTCAGTGGAGTGAACGGGCCCTGCAGGCCAAGCACATCCGCGGTAAGTGCCTCGTGGGTCTTGTCCCTGAGGGCGTTGGCTTGGGTTCTCTGCAGGGTCACGCTCCAGCGCTGGCGGTACTCGGTGAGTAGTTTCGCCGCCTCCCTCGACTTCGGTGGGGCGTTGAACCGCCGCTTAGCCGCCAGCTCCGCGCAGCTGCGAAGGAAATCGAGGACTCCAGCTCAGGGGTACCCGTAGGTTTCCACGGCCATGGCGTAGAAGCCCACCCAAGGGCTCCTTCCGGCATACTTGGTCTCCTTCTTATCCGCTTGCATCCTGGCCGCCCACCCGGGTGCCTTGCGAGCGTACTCATCCTGATGGGAGACGGGGTCCGTGACTGTGATGTCACATATCCACACTGCGCCGGCGTCGGGATGGCGGATAGAGATATCCGCTTTGAGGTTTTCGACCGGTGAGTATGCCGTTGTCTCCTTGTGCACCGTGAATCCCGCTTCAGCCGCTATCTTTGCGCACTCATCCCTCAAAGCATTGTGAGTGCTGATTCTCCCCCCCCCTTTTTCACACCGCATCAAGTGGTTCGGCAGGCGATGGTCGGGGAAGGTGGTGCGGGTACCTGCAGTTGCAGCGTCTAGGCACAGGAAGGGGTAGTCCCAGGCGGAAGGATTCCGCGGTGGAGAACTGGGAGGGTCCGAGGCGGAGGGAAGGGATCAGGGGGATGGCCAGCAGCCAATCTCCTGCCCCCGGTCCTAAGAGGGACTGTAGCCTCTGCGTGTGGCCGAACAGTGGGTTCGGCTCCATGGTCCGTGAGATGTCCAGCAGTCAGATGTAGCGGGCTGTGTGCACTGCGAGGGAGAGGGCTTGCTGTAGTTTCGGCCCGTTAGGCTTTTGTCTCCCTGTCTGCAAGGCGTCTACTCCCTCAGGAGGCAGTTCGGTTTCCAGGGCGGCGAGGCGTCGAGGGAGGAGGGATGTGGACTCTCCGTCCGCCTCCATCAGCCGCAGCAGGCCTGATAGGCTCGGGTTAGCCGAGTCGCCGAAGGAGCGTAGCAGGTGGGCGGCCGAGACAACCGAAGCCAGGTAGGCGAATCTCCCCTCCACTGCAGGGTTGGTGATGCCGAGGCCCCCTAGGGACGCGGGCAGGGCGGCTTGGTGCCAGATCCTGTCCCTCTCAGCCCGGTCCCTGGGGATAGTTGTATGTGCCGCAACCAGGTAGGTGTGGAGCAGTGACTCCCCCCAAGCCGACCACTCCTCCAACGGCAGGGCTTCAGGGGGCGTGGCTCTGACCAGGAACGAGGCGCGGCGGCTCACGCAGCGTGCCGGTGAGAAGTAGCAGACAGAGTTGGGGGTCCATCTGGGCGAGGAGCTTGAGCGGTTCCGACGCTGCTGCGAGGCGCTCACGAATACGTGCTTCACAGCCGATGGGGGGGCCAATGGGGCTGCCGAGAACGCGGACTCCATCTGGTGAGATCGTGATGCCCGCAGGTAAGGTGGCGGGGTCAAGCGCAGCTGCGGACCACGCCTCACACTTTGCCGGGTTATGGGCAAGCCCAAGGAGGCGGAGGGCTTCTGTGAGGTGTGTGAATGCCGCCGTGCAGCTCGCTGCCTCCCCGAGCAGAGTGATGTCATCTGCATACGCCAGAAACACCACGTCCGGGTGAGCCGCTGCTGCTTGGACGAGGCAGGGGTGGATGCTGGCTGCAAACAGCATGGGTCCCAGCGGGTCACCCTGGCGTACGCCCCGTGCGCTCTTGAGTGGCTCTGCTGCAAAGTCATGGTCGAGGTAGAGCGCTGATGGGTGGCCGTAAGAGAAGCGTACGAGAGGCACTAGGACTTCGAGTTCGGTGCCTCTCAGGCCCTCGAACACTGCTGCGCGCTCTACAGCATTGAAGGCATTGGCTAGATCTATTTGAAGCGCCGTCGCTCCTGGGAACTCCTCCAGGTAGGTGCGTGCGGTGTGTATTGCCGCCTCTATTCCTCCCGCGATTGCTACTCCAAACTGGATCGGGGTGAAGTGCTCGCGCGCCGCTGGAGCGGCGAGAAAAAAGGGCTGCCTTGGCTACGAGGCGGAGTAGGCATTCGCCTACGGCTATCGGCCGCGTACCGCCCTGCGGCTTCGAGAAGGCAAGGAGACGTGACGCTGTTAGGAGGTCTGCCACGTCTGTCTTCAGTTTCCCAGCAAGCGCCGTGTTGGTAAGAGCATGCAGCTGCACGAAGACGTCACCATTCCCCAGGGCCGCGTCTCTAAGGTGCTCAAAGGTGGTGCCTGAGGGCCCCGCCCCCACTCCATTGGGGCATTTTGCTAGCAGCCGTCTGAAGTCCCTGGCAGCGATGGAAGGGACGCTCTCTGGGGCGAAGCAGTGCACCCAGGGAGGGATGGCCGAGGTGGCTTCTGGATGTCTGCCTGTGAGCGCGCTGAGAACTTCGGCGCTCGGCGTGCAGACGGGCGTGACAGTCAGGGTCTGCAGTGATTTCGCTAGGTTCCCTCTCTTAGCCAAGCCTTCGGCACGCGAGAGCTTGCCAGTATCATCAGGTACATGTCGTGGTTGGGGGTCGCTGGTAACCGCGCCAGCTGCCTCGTCGTACAGGTTGCGCCGCAGGCCTTGGCGGAATCGCGTCAGCCTCGCGCCCATGGTTTTCCAGTCGGGGGAGCGAGCTGACGAGGTGCGCAGCAGAATGCGCGGGAGAAACATCAGCAGCTTCCAGCCCGCAGTGGAGTCAGGGTTTTGCGCCAGGTGCAGCAGTGGGGTCAGCAGGCATATCGCGAAGGATTCGCGAAGTGGGCGGGGTGGGTGACGGGCGAGGGGGGCTGTCTGCTGTCGCGCAGCGGGCAGAGGTCCCAGTTGGCGACGTCGTCAAAAAGGTCCTGACGCGTCGCCAAATCGTCCGCGCTGATGATTGGGACGGGGGTGGCAGGCTCGGGAGCTGGGTTATTGGCAGGCGATATGGTAACCCGGGTGTTGGGGGCGGCTCGATTTCCCCTCGCGGCCCGATTTTGGGGTTGTCGAATTGTGGATGCGGTTCGACCCCCAGCTGGGTCAATTTCTTCCACCAATTCCCCCTCCGTTGTGGGATTCGAACTTCCCTCTCTTTCAAGGTTAAAGTCAGGGTCACCCCCAGATCCATTTTCAGATTCGACACCAAGTGCTTCTCCTCCCTCCCTAGCTCTCTGCCACAGGACCCGCTGTGCTGCTCGCGCGAAGCTGCTCGCGCCTCTCCTATGCGTCGAGGCGCCACGTCCGCGGCGGTTGCTGCCTTGTCCCACCCGAAATCTGCGCGCTTCTCTTTCTCTTGCTGCTCCCGAACGCCTCGCGGTTGGCGCGGCGTCAGCACCGCCCCTCCTTTGACGGTGCGCTGGCGTCGGCGGCGGTCGAGTCGGCCGTGATGGACCCACCCCGGGGCCAAGATCCAGAGCTGGAAGGTACAGCGGAGAGCGCGCAGCAGGGGCGGGTGCTGGAGCTGCTCGCGTCCCGTCCGCGTCCCTCAGCGCGCCCCTCCGCAAGTGAGCCCGTCCGCCGCTTCGAACGCGGCCTGTCTCTTCCTCTTCGAGGCGTCCCGCAGCCCCCCTCGCCGGAGTTTTCGTGGGCCCCTGCCCGTGTGGGCTCCAACCGCCCTGCTGCTGTGCCTCGTCAGGAGCATGGGCGTTCACCACCGCGTCAGCCGCCGCGGCAGCGTTCTCCCCGTCGGCGCTCCCTGAGCATCAGGAATCGCGGCAGCAGTCTCCTCGCCGCCGATCTCCTGAGCGTCGTGGTGACCACCGGGACGGCGCTGGCGGTCGTCTGTCCCCCGCGGGCCATCGGTCTCCTCTCCATCAATCCCCTCGTGGTCGGGCAGGCCAGCGCTCACCCCGAGCGCGATCCCCCGCAACGGTCTCCGCGGCGATCTCCGGCGACGCGGGGGAGGGGGTCGCCTGGGCGTCGATGGGATTCGGGTCGCCGCGAGCAGTCCCCTCCTCGTCCGCGCTCGGCTGGGTCTGGCGGCCGTCGTGGCCGGCGGAATGGAGGTGGGCGCGGCGGTAATGGGCGCGGGCAGGATCCAGCCCTTGATCAAGCCGCGGATGTGTTCGCGGAAGTGGTGCGACAGGCGCGGGCAAGTGGGGAGGAGACGCACGTACACATCGCGGTGACCAACGGCCCTCCCCTCGAACCGAGTCCTGGCCAGGCGGCTCCTCTGCGCGCGCCGACGCTGCGCGACTATCTGCCCGCGCGGGAGGGGAGGGCTCCATTCCGCACCCCCCGTCCGGTCCAGGGCTTCTCCGTGCCGCGCTTCTCTGTTGGCCGGACTCCTGGCTGGCCGACGGTGTTTCCGCGCGAAGCACCGACTGCACCTCCTCCCATTCCCGCGGGGAGAGACCCCATGCTGACCATGTGTCGTCTCCTGAATTTGGTGGAGGCGTGCGAGGTGGTGGCGAATCTGCAGCTGGCGGTGTGTGGGGCCACGCGGAGCTTTCCGAGCAGTTACGGTCCAGGATCCCGAGGATCCTGCGTGTCTTTGGCAGAATCGCTCGAGTCGCCGTTGGCACCCGTGTCGGAAGCGCCCGCCGGGGTAGCGCCCTTAGCCCGTACTTTCCCCCGCCACGTGGGGGATCTTGTAGGGGTTGCTCGAGTCGGGACTCCGGTGGACACTCTTCAGTCGTCGGCGCACCTCCTGCTGTCGATGTCGGCGTGCATGCGTTCCATGCTTGAGGTAGAGGGGGCGGAGCCGTACGCGATGTAGGCCTCCGCCTTTTGTAGAATTGCATCTCCGTTGCGTCTTAGCCGTAGGTAGTCTCCCTTGCGTGTGGCTTCGCGTATGCTCCCCCTTATAAGCTGTTTTGTTGTGTGTTGACTTGCCACCCCAAACGCGCGGCCGAAGGCCGCCGGCGCGAGCGCCGAAAATGAACCCACGACAAAATAATGGGGAGAAGCAGGCTAGAGCAGGCCTTAAATAGGCCGGGAGGGCAGAGGGCAGAGGGAGAAGGCCGAGGCAGAGGGCTAA